CCTGGAGGAGGTCTCTCCCATCTCCTCCTGTTCCACCACATATCTGCAGGGCAGAACCCAGGGGCCCATTGCAACCCCTGCTGTGTGTTGGAGGAGATCCTGAGCACAAGGGTGGCGGGCTGTCAGTCGGGCATCTGAAAGGTCTTCCCCAACCCTAACAGCGAGTCTGCGATGTCTGAGCGTTTGCAGTATTTAAAAACAAAAACCTTTTCCTTGAAGAGACGGAGGGCCGGTGCGTGCAGCAGCATTGTGTTGTGCACAGAGCTGGGCTGAGAACTGGAGATGTTATCACTGCCAACTCAGGGACCCCATTGTCAGCAGGGGAGGTTAAATTTAGCAGCACTGGGAAATGACACAGTGAGTCAGCGGTGGAGGGGAAGCAGAAAGAATGAGGCATGCAGAGAGCTGCGTGTCCTGGAAAAGCAATGGGATTAAGTGGTGCCCTGTACTGCTGCTGTTATTATTTCTCCCCTGAAACTTCAGGATGGGGTAATGTCGTGGTGGTTAACCTGTGGGTGATCGGAGCCAGCAAACTCAAGGCAATGTGCCTTTGAAAAGAGGAGTGGTGGCACTGGGATCTGTCACTGTGGGGCTGCTGAGGGCATTCCTCTGCCACACCGAGGAGCAGTGCTGCTGTTGATGTGCTGCATTGGCCCAACAGGACGCAAACCCCATAGCCTGGAGGATCCCCTGCATGGTCCCCGAGCTTCTGGCTGGGGGAGATAAGGGCTGCGGCCCTGTGAGTGCTTGGGGAGGGCGGTGGGGTCTGAGCTGTGCATAAAATACCACTTGGGTCCTGTTGGTTACTTCCTAGGAACCCGAAAAAACTCTTAGAGCCCAGAAGCAGCTCTCTAGGGAAGCTGATATCGGAGGCGAGCTCCGCTTTGCAATCACTTCACTGTCGGAGGTTGTGGCTCTGACATCAGACACCGGGATTTTTCCTGCCCTTGTGCAGCACTTGGGGCTATTTTTACCCGGCGCTGCCAGTGGCTGCAGGAAGCCCTCAGCTTTCCTCTCCCGGTCCCGCTCTGCTGCCTGCCCGCAGCTTTGACTTTATTAGGGCAAGGCCTGCGCCCGCGGGGAGCAGCGAGCAGCGATCCCAGTGCCACGGCCGCGGCGAGCGGAGATGTGCCCACGGGGAGCAGCCGGGGAACGGGGCCATGAGCGGGGCTGGTGATGGAATGGGTGACATCATCGGGCAGGCATCCGCGCGGGATGTGGAGGGGAATTATAAAAAGGTAGGAGACAAAAAGGGGCCTTTTGTCAGCGTGCTCCGCATGGATGGGTGCTGCCAGGCGGCGTGCACGGGGCGTGGGGCTGCACGTACAGGGCTGCAGAGAGGGCAGACCTGCTCAGAACTCTGTGCTCGGGCATGGGGCTGCACGCATGAGGCTGCACAGTGGGGCTGCACGCGTGGCCACTTTGCGCTGGATGCTCGTGCCCCACCGCTGCCTTTAACCATGGATGCCCTCTCCCTGGTGTGATGTGGCAGAACTGTCCCCTCTGTGTGTCCTCGTCACAGCTTGTCCCCAGGGGCGTTCCCAGACACCTCCTCAGACCAGGAGAGCTGGCATTTCTTGGGCTCCGTGCCACATGGCTTGAGAGACGATGAGCATTTTGTGTTTTTCTAGCAAACCCGGCCGTACAAAAACAAGTGTTGCATAATTATAATTTCTGCTGGTGAATCCAATCATAGCCTTTGTACTGCACAGAAGTAAAAAAGGGTGCTGTGTACGGGTCTAGGACTTTAAATATAGTAATTGTCCATGGCTGGTAATGACAGTCCCTGGCAAAAATAGCCTCCGTGGTGTGGCTGCAGGGACCAGGCAGCTCCACAGCAGTGGGGTGATGTCCACTGATGGCCCCCATAGGCTTTTATTTTAACCAAGGGGTTAAACCCCTTGGCTGGATGGGAGCAGCACTGCCCTCCAGGCATTCATTTACCTGCAGTTCTTGGACAAGAGGTAATGGCCTTAAGTTGCACCAAATTGATATTAGGAACAGATTCTTCTCTGTATGAGTAATTGGGCAGTGGCACAGCTGCCCAGGGAGTTGTGGGGTCACCATCCCTTACGGGGAGTTCAGAGCTGGGGGGATGTGGCACTGAGAGCTGTGGGCACGGTGGGGTGGGCTGCTGTTGGGTTGGGAATCTCGGAGGTCTTTCCCAAACCTAATGGTTCTGTGAATTTGTTGTGCTGTTCCCTCCCAAGCACTCTGGGCGGCTCACAGACCAGCCATGCCTGCTGCTCAGCCCTTGGTATCGATCAGTACAGCTCCAGAAATGTCGCTGTTGTCCGCTGTTAATGGAGGGCTGTTAATGTTGGATGGTTCCAAAGTGCAACGCGGAGCCTGGGAGATTGCTGCGGCACCTGAGTTGCAGATAAATATTTGATGTGCACTTTTATTTGCTCTTCTGAGTGACGTCTGTAATGCATAAAGGCTGCTAATACCGCGTCCTGCATGCAGAGCGGGTGAGTGGAGCAGCCCAGCTCTTAATTCTCCAGTGACGCCAATAATACGGCGTGGGCGATGCGCTGGGGGCTCTTCTCATTTCTCAGAAATCAGCAGAAATCTCGTGGTTCCCATCCATGCACAGGTCAGCAGGGGACAGCCTGACGGATGGGGATTGCGTGGGGATGAAGTATCAGTGGGGCAAATCAGGGGTGTTGGCCAAAGAGGGGCTTTTTGTGGTACGCCTTGTGGATGGCAAGTGTCCGTACAGACCAAGGATTGAACTGTTCCTTGCTCACTCAGTGTTGTGTATATGCAGAAGGAAATAGATGACAAAATAGGTCAGTAGGAGATAAAGTGGGTCAGGCAGCAATGTGGGCGCTGCTGCCAGTGGTGTGAGCAGCCAGTGGGCCAAGCAGCCCCCATAGAATTGGGATGGCCAAGAAAGGGCCCACACAGCATGACACGGGGATCCCGAGCTTGTGTCCTCCAAACAAGAGTCCCAGAGCACTGCCCTTTGTAATGCATGAATCTTCATCAATTCACAACTTTACAGGGTTTTTTTTTAATCTTTTCCAGATCTTTTTCCTGTTTCTCAACCCCATCTTTTTTTTAATTATTTTGTTGTTTTTTTTAACCCCCTGAGGAGGCTCACTGCCCAGCTGATGCCAGGGCAGAGCTGAGGGATGCGATGTCAAAATGCACATTTAAATATAACATGGTTTTACATTTTCCTTGCTAGTACCTGTACTTTTTATTCCATGCATTATTTTTTATATACAAACTGAGTATATTTGATAGTCAGAAAAACCACATGCAATTTTCCTTCTCAATTTCCAGTTTTCAGTGCCCGGTTCAGGATGCATCGAGCAGCTGGCGGGTAATTTATCTACAGCATAAAGTCTGGTTCCCTTAGGTATATTCTATTTCTTAGTAACCGTTCCCTATTTTATCATAACAAATAGGACTCTCCATTTCTTTACGGTCATTATGCTGGGTCTGTTCTATAAGATGGGATGTGCTGAGCTCAGGACTGGGAATAGCATTATTTCGTATCCCTGGTAATGGCCTGGTGGAGCAGACAAATGGCACATTGATTAAATGTACAGATGTCAGACTGGGAGCAGCTGCAGCCGCAGTGGGACGTGGAGCAAAATTACAACGGGTGTGGAGAGAGCTCCATCTATAAGGGAAAACATGCGGGAGCAGTCTGCATTCGTGTGTGTTTTAATGTGGAGTGATTTTCAGCACGTGTTGGAGGTAGGGCTGGTGTGCAGGGAATGCACGGCCCTGTGCTGCAGCCCCTGGCTTCTGGTGGGAGATGGAAATGTCTGGGCACGGAGATGGGATAGAAAGGGTCCTTTGGGTGGGAAGAGAAGCATCCATGGTATCATGAAACACGAAGGTGCTGTGGGGATGTGCCCATCTGGTGCTTGGAGGCAGCTGAGCTCAGAGGTCGGGCCCCTGGCAGAGAAGGGCTCCATCATGGAGGTGTTGGAGGCCAAGCTGGATAGAACCGTGGGCAGCTTGATCTGGTGGGGGCACCCAGCCCACAGCAGGGAGGTTGGAACTGGGTGATGCTGGAGGTGCCTTCCAACCCAACCATTAATATGATAACCATCATAACCATATGATTCTGTGATTTTTTCTTCAGAGGAAAAGGTGCACCATGGACATTTACTGGTGTTTCTTCCATCTTTTTCACCCATCACATGCCCAGTGTGGCAGCAATGCCCAGGGGTGCAGTGAGTAGCACAAAAATTGTTTTCCTTGGGTTTTGTGTCACTGCTTCATCTCATTTTGGCCTGCTCTTCAAAATAGTGGCTCCTTTCCTGCATTCCCAAAGGGGTGGTGTGCTACCAGGAGCGTCGTCAGTAAATAATATACAAAAAGAAAACAGGGAACAACTTGAAAATTCAATGCCCCTCGATGCTCTGGGCGTTGTTTTCATTGCTCTGAATTATTTGTAGCAGTGGCAAAGGAGTTAGATTACAAATAAAGTATGTATTTTGGTAAGAGATTGACAACATAATGGGCAGCGCGATGCTGTAATGTAGGTTGTCAGCACTGGGGTTAGATTAAATGATTAGCTATTTTACGTTAATAATTTACATTTCATTATTTGTCACTTCCCTCTGTCAGATAAAGGTGCGTTGTTTAGGCAGAATTTGAGGCACTGGGCTATGTTAGTGCTGTGGATGCTGCCTGGTACATTTTCTTTTGATGGTACATATTCATTTGCTGTATTCCTGATCAGCTGTTACATGTTACTTTAAAATGAAATGTTTGAGGGCTTCCAAATGTTCCTTCTGCCCTTACTTTCCCTTCCTGTCATCCATTGCCGACAGACACCAGCGCAGTACTGCTGTTGATTTGGGGTACAGATCTGTGGTTCTCATTTATTGCACGCTGACTGCACAGCCGTGGATCGGTGACCCGTTCCAATCCATCCCATAGCCTAACCTTACTCAAAAAAACGCCTCTCTGTGAATGCATTCTTCAAACCTTGGTAATTTGATGGCACCTCTCCTGCATTCCTTCCCCTGCAGGCTCAAAAGAATGAGCGTGAGTCCATCAGGCAGAAGTTGGCTCTTGGCAGCTTCTTCGACGATGGCCCAGGGCTCTACACCGGCTGCAGTAAGAGCGGCAAGCCCAGCCTGTCCTCCAGGTACGCAGGGCTGCGGGGCGAGTGGAGGCTGGGCTGCTTGGTGGGGTTGGCCAAGGAGTTGTGTGTCTGAATTCCTGTTGAAATGTGCACATCCAAAGCAGCAGAGAGCTTGGTCTTATTGCTGGGTTAGCATGGTGAACGACGGGGCCCAGGAGAACCTCATGAGGTTCAACAAACCCAAGTGCCTTGGGAACAGCCTGCCCAGAGGGGTGGCTGCCCAGTCCCTCCAGGCACCCGCAGTGAGGGCTGGGCTCTGAGCACTGATGGAGTTTGGATGTCCCTGTGCATAGTGGGCAGTGGGACCGATGGCTTTCAGAGGTCCCTTGCAACACAACCTATTCTGTGATCCTATGAAAGCTGGTTAAAAACAGAACTGTTGGTTTGTGGAAGAGCATCTTCCTCTAGTGGTTCAAGAGGTGGCCGCCTGTTTCATACTGGTCACCAGTTGGGCTCTGTTGGTTGCATGTTTCACGCTGCACTGAGCAGCCAGGGTGGATCCTGGGTAGCTCGAGTGCCTTCTGTGCTGTGGGCAGATGTGGGGCAGGGAGGAAGAAACCTGGGAGAGGCATAAAACCAGGGGGAATCCTACTAGGGCAGCATGGAGGTGAGACTGTAAAATGCAACTGAACCACAGTGCATCTGAAAAGGAAAGTTGTGCTCTGTGTGGTTACAGCTCAAGCGGTAACTGCTGTCTTGTAATTACAGGGCAGGACTAATTAACATCCTGCAGCAGGGCTGGGCAGCCATAACATGAGAAAACACCAAACGTACCTGGATGCTGCAGCATTTTGTTTGTATTTATAGTCCAGACAGAGCACTGGTATGCACTGCATGGGTCAGGACATCCAGGAGAGGCTGGCGGTCCCCACTGCTCCACCACAGTGCTCCCAGTCTCCTTGTCCCAGTGCCCTGAGGGCAAGCACAGGATGCTTCCTCGTGCTGTTGCATCCTTTTTTTTTGCAGCAGAGCACACTGCATATTGAGTCAGGGGTTCCATGCTCATCACACGGGGCCATGGAGGAGGCAGTGGGAGAGCTGGGCTGCTGCAGCCTGTGCTTGCTGTCACTGTGAACAGCTGGTGCTTGCTCACAGGGAAGGGCTCCACGTCCAGCTGTGTCCCACAGGATGTTTCCTGGATTCCTTTCGAGGCCGGTCGCTGCTTTCCCAGCTGTGCACCATTTTAATCCAGGATTTTTACAATGCAGTCAGCATCCTCCGTTTCTAATGTTCTGGTGCTCCCAGAGGTGCCTCATCTGCCTCTCTGTTAGGATGAGTGTGGGTCAGGCATTTCGGTCATGCTCTTGAAATGCAGGTGTCCCACAGACCCTGATTTGCACTTACTCTTCCCTTTCTGCATAATGCAGTTTGAAGCCAAGCAAAAGCTGTGTCCTGCTCCCCAACCTGGGCGCTGTGTTCACTGAGCCTGGCTCCAAAGCTCATGTGTTAATGCTATCTGTTGTATAGCAATAATGAATTAAAAAAATACCACTAAAATAAGTGTGTTTGGTGTGAGGACCAATATAAGCCCCCTTATTGCAGAGCCTGTGTATGTATGGGCCTCTCCCAGCGTGGACACGTGGTGATGGAGCACAGGAAAGGCAACAGAGCTGCCCCCAAAGGATCATTTGGAACTTGAATATAGAAAAAGGAGTGCAGTGTGAGAGGCAAGGAGCCCTGCTGCAAACCTGCATTGCACCATGCTCAGGGCTGTGCTGCTCCTCTTCCTCATTGCACGCTGGTACTTAGCATGGACAGCACGTGGTGGAGCAAAAGCTGGGCAGGGCTCTGCTGAGGAGTGCCCATGAGATGCCATAGTGCCACAAGCAGCCTTGGGACAGCCCTCAGTAAATCCTTTTGGTCAGCACATGGTGTTTCATGGCCGCAATGTTGAAGCTCTGCAGTGTTGTGGGTATTTCTGCTGTTCAGCAGTAGATGGTGGTAGAGGCACTGTCATGGTGGAGCTGATGAGTTTTCAGTCTGAGCTGTCACTTCCTAATGCTATGTGGGAATTGTCACCTCCGACCCAGGCATTGGGTGCTGCTGCCTGTGGGGCCAATGAGGCCAAGCAGAGTGTTGTGCATCACAGATCTGCCATTACGTATTGCCCATCCCCATCCCCATTGTCACCTCTCCTCCCTGCAGACTCCAGAGCGGGATGAACCTGCAGATCTGTTTTGTGAACGACAGTGGCAGTGATAAGGACAGCGATGCTGATGACAGCAAGACAGAAACCAGCCTGGACACACCTTTGTCACCCATGGTAGGTCTGGTGGCTCATCTCACATGGGCCATAATGAGAACTGCTGAGGCACTGAAGCCCAGAGCAGCTGGCACATTGCTATTACAGGACAGACCCGCTGCAGGGGGGGTTGCACTCAAGGGACATTGCCCTTCTCCTGCCCTTCCTTTCTCTGTGCTCTGTCAGAGCAGTAATGGGTGCAGAGTGGTGTCGGCTCCTATCAGCTCTCCACTCCTTTTTTCCTTCATGGATACAACACAGAGGCCCCAGACCCGTGGTGGGCTTTCCTCCAGCTTAACCAGCTTGTCCATTAGGCACTTATCGATCTGTTTGGCTCCATCTAAAGTGCTCAAGTGGCTGCTAATACTCAGAAGAGCCAATCAAGAAATGAGTTTGATGTAAAAAAAAAAAAAAAGAAAAAAAAAGCCAGCCAACCCTGTAATCTTCACCTTGCCTGTAGAAATGAACCCCTCTGTGTGCATGCAGAGGGTGTGAAGCTGCAGGTCAGCTCCTCTGCTCTGTCCCCGCGGCGGCGGTGCCGGGCTGTAACGGTGCGTGTCTGCTTCCCTAGAGCAAGCAGAGCTCTTCCTACTCCGACAGAGACACGACCGAGGAGGAGTCCGAGTCCCTCGATGACATGGATTTTCTCACCAGGCAAAAGAAACTCCAAGCTGAAGCCAAAATGGCCTTGGCTATGGCAAAGCCCATGGCCAAAATGCAGGTGGAGGTGGAGAAGCAGAACAGGAAGAAATCTCCGGTGGCGGATCTGGTGAGTGCTGGCCGATGCAATGGCCCTTCATCCCTCTGCCCTGGGTGTTATGGGAGCAGGAGAGGAGAGGGGGAAGCACGGAGCTCAGTGCTGTGTTACGACCTCCCAGCTGAGGCTGAAGGCCTGCACTGAGTGCTGGCAGATGCTTTGGTAGTCTCAGTGTAGCCACAAATGGGTGTTTGCAGGGGGGGATGTGTCTGGGCAAACTGGTGCTGTGCAGAAATATGGGTAATTCAGAGAAAAAGAATTAAACAGATGAAAATTCATTTCCAGCTCCCACATATGCCTCATATAAGCGAATGCCTGATGAAAAGGAACTTAAAACCCGCCGACCTAAGAGACATGACAATTGGGCAGCTACAAGTGATAGTCAATGATCTTCACTCACAGATAGAAAGTAAGTGTTCTTTGTTTAATTATCCTTTAGCAAGCACCGTCTACTTCAGGATATATATATTTTATATATGTAAAAACACTGATAAATGTACAGGAATGGAACCATAGAGGAGAGCTGCTGGAGGTGGGCTGTTTGCTAGGTCTGGCTCCTTTGGCTTTTTGCTTTCTTTATCCATCAAGCATTCAGAGGGCATTCAGTAACGTAGCGTTGCTTCAGCATCTAAAAGCAGCCAGAAATACTGCCAGTTTTGTGGCTTCATGCAGCCTTATGGCTGTTTTCTGATATGATGCTCTGCATGGCCTCAGCAGCATCCAGAAGTGGAGAAGCCCTCTGGTCCAATAGACACCACTGAGTTCGTATGTTCTGTCTTGCAGCACATTAACATGGCTCACGTATCCTTGCGTTTGCCTCCTTATCTGTCTTTGCTCTCTCCAAAGAATCCAGGGTTATTCCCCGGCATCTCCACCTTTCCTTATCAATGATTAATTAATCTTAAAGGAAATGTCTCAGGTGGCTGTAGGACAAAAATAGCCCCAACATTCATTGGGCTGCTCTGCAACTCTGTAACTGCTTGTGTTCGTTAATTACCGTCCCTCCTGGCAGCTCCTGCTAGGGATGTGGAGCTGCTCATGCCTGTGGCTGAAGCACTGCAAAATTCCTCTCCTTGCAAACCTCCCCCTGCTCAGCGCGAACTCTCCTCCTCTCTCTCCGGCCCCAGGCTTGAACGAGGAGCTGGTGCAGCTGCTGCTCATCCGGGATGAGCTGCACACGGAGCAGGATGCGATGCTGGTGGACATCGAGGACCTGACCAGGTGAGGGAGGGGTCCAGGGGCCATTTGCCCCCACTGTCAGCCTTTGGAAGCCACCAAGCCAGCAGAAAAACGGGCTGTGTCCATGCAGCAGCCCTATGGCTTAACCCCATTGGTGGCAGGAGGTGATGGGGACTGTCACCACCACGGTGAGATGCGGGTAGCATGGGAGGTCGGTGGGATTGGGCTGTGGGTGACCTCAATCCCACAAGAGCAGGATCTGGGAGGAGACGTGAGCTTACAGAGTCCCACTACCCCACCTCCATGCTTTTGCCAACGCATAACCAGGCTGCTCCTTCCCAGACATGCCGAGAGCCAGCAGAAGCACATGGCAGAGAAGATGCCAGCAAAGTAACCCCAGAGTCTGTGGCAGCAGAGATGGAGCTCGCCTGTCCCTCGCTTCTGTGTCTGTACACGTGCTGATGTCCTCAGTGGCGCGCAGCAAATCAGTGTTAGTCCTTGGTCGTGTCCGAAGCTTTATGTCCGGTGATTGGCCTCCGCTTCTTAATTTATTTTAATTATTTTTTTTCTTTTTTTACTCGTGCCACTCAATATCAGGCGTTTTAATAATATTATTACAGAAAAATGTACAGTACTTATAACGTTATAAAACATGGCTGAGGAGAGAGGGCAGTTTAACTTTATTTTTGTTTGCTTAGAGGTTTTACGTTGGACGATATTTTACCATTGACTACTTTTTTATTCTTCACTGTAGTTTTAAATAAAGAGACTGTACTTGACGGTGCTATACAAGTCCAAAAGACATGCCTGCCTCGTAGTGACGTCGTAACCTTCGGTAATATGTACATTTTAATCAGTTTTCAACATTTTGTGAATGTTGACTACCTGACGTTCATTTTTAGATGTGCTATTAACATTGAGTTGGGTTTCAAAGAGTTACCTGGAAAGTTTTATGTATAAAGATGTAAAATAAACATTTAAAAACTTGTTTCATATGACACGTCTTTTTGTTGGCCGGTGGTTGACTCGGTGATGTACTCAGCCAACTCAGTGTGCAATGCCTCCTTTGTCATCACCAAAAAGAGCCAAGCACGTACAGTTGTGCAGAGAAGACAGGACTGTTGTACAGCTACTTACCTGTAAGCTCATCATGTATGTATGACATGGACTTAAGCTATTCTTCTATACTAGCATTCAGCAGGCCCTAATATTGTGACTGTTGTTAGGCCCAGGCACACACATAGATGTTTCTATATTTTATTATCCACGCTGAATGGCTCAATGACTCCCCCGTGTCAGAAATTTAGAGAAAGAAGAATCTATGTTAAAAATCTTCAGCAGCATCTGAAATGTATGCAATATGGCAGCAGCTCCCCCCTGCCTTGGGGCTGTGCCCTGCTCTGTGGGCACTGTGTCCCTGCCCTGCTCTGCTCCCAGGAGCGGGGACCTTTGCCTTCCGCATTTTCATTCCCCCCAACCCCATGACAGATTCCCCTTAGCAAAGCACTCGGCTGACGACTTATTCAGGGTGTCTGCAGCAAAGCATGAGACGCATCCAAATTCCATCCCCCCACCACGAATGTATTTTATTAAACTGACACTTACTTATTGTTGTTCTGCCCCTCCTTCCCCTGAAGCAGGCCAGGTGCTGAGAGCTCTCTTGGCATTTCGCAGCATTTTGGGGCCATTTTGCCACGTTGTGCTGCTCCAATAGCAAAGGCTGGCTCAGGTGGGAGTGCCTTGTGCTCACCTGCAATGGAAACTCCTCTTATTTAATTTGCTTTTTTTGGAATCTATGCAGAAAATATATATATAAATATATATAATAGTGGGGGTGTTCACTTGTCAGTATCTCCTGTTGTCTTGCTGCTGTACCTGCATGCAGTGATAGCTAGCTGCTGCTGTTGTGTTCCTGTGCTGTGCTTTCACCTGTGAGGCCAACCCCCCATGGGGTGCAGATGGGGGGGCTCAGCCTGAAGCCCCACTGCAGAGATGCTCAGCAGGAGGGGTGGGCTGCTCTGCTCACTGATAAGTGCCTTTAATTCTCTGGAGGGAGCAGGCCTGTGGGCACCCAGCACCAGGACAGCCAGTGGAGTGTCCATCTTCAAGGGTTTGATTTTTTAACTAAAAAATAAGTTAAAGTAATTTAAAATATATATATAGTATTGCTGGGTAATTGCATCTTAGATCTCTGTCCAGTGTACTGCAGTGTCATGCAGGTGTGTACGATGGCAATGCTGTGGAATGAATGGATTAAATGATGTTTTTGAAAGAAACGTGCCTTGTGTGGTTTTTGAACCGGGCCCTCTCACAGTGCCTGGCCCTGGCACCAAGATCATGCCAACGTTTGGGGATGTGCCCTGTCCTCGGGAAGCAGGGGGGATGGAAGGCATTGCCTCAGCCAGCACATCAGGGCACCTCTACACTGATGTGCCTACAAGCAGCCCTTGAAGCAGACAGCTTGACTTTGGGCTGAAACACAAAGATGCTCAGTGAGGCTAAGCTGATGAGGCTTAAACACCCTGAAGGTGTTCAAGGCCAGGTTGGATGGGGCCCTGGGCAGGCTGGTCTAGTATTAGATCTGCAGGTTAGTGGCCCTGCCTGTGGCAGTTGGATTGAAGCTTGATGATCCTTGAGGTCCCTTCCATCCCAAGCCATTCTGTGATTCCCCACAAGATGTGTTCAGTCCCCCAGAGCTGTCCCACTCCTTTGGCCTTGGGGGCAGTGGCTTCCTTTCTGGAGCATAGAGGGGGATGTTTTGCTTTTATTCTGCATTAGCTTTTATTTTTGACATTTTCCTTCTACGAATGGATCATTTACATGGTTCCACTTAGGACTCCCATTATCAGTACCGTAACTGTAGAGCCAAATTCCCCAAAAGCTCTGGGTAAGACAGTTTCATTTCAGGGGCTGACATCAGTACAAGCAGTCAGAAGCAGTTTCTATTGAGAGCATCCCTCACCAGGATACGGGCAGCTAGCAGCCCACCCCAAAGTGCCCAAAACAGCTCGTAGGGACACCCAGAATGGCACAGACCCCAGCTCCACCAGGAGGAATAAAACAGTTTTTGTGATAAGCCACTTAATGCAATTTGTTAAGTTCCACGTGCATGGAAACAGGCAGATGCTACGCGGCTGCCATTTGTTTCTGTTCTATGAGTGTCTCCATGCCAGCCCTGTGCTCCCTTGGGCATCAGCAGCTTAGACTGGGAAACAGTTTCAGAGCCTGCTTTGTAGTTATTGACATACATAGGATCACAGACCCAGAGAATGGCTTGGGGTGGAACGGACCTTAAAGATCATCTGTTTCCACCATCCTTCTATGGGGTGGGGGCTCCCCCAGCTTAGGCTGCCCAAGGCCCCATCCAGCCCAGCCCTGAGCACCCAGGGATGGGACACTCCCAGCTCTGGGTAGCAATGCCATGGCAAGTTGACGTGGTTTTTTTGTTTCTTTATCTTTAATGCTAACGCAATAGTTGTGCAGGTAAGGACCTGCCCGTGTCCCATCTCTCTCCTGCTCTCCCCTTCAGCCCTACCAGAAAGAGACAACCTGCTGCCTTTTTCTCCCCTGCCTCCATTTGGTGTCACAATAAAACTTTGTTTTTTCCTTTTTAATTCCCTCTTTTGGACTCGGACTCACTTGTGTTTGAGAGCATTCAATGATACGCACAATAACAGTAGGGAAAAAAAAACCAAAATAAACATCATGTTTCAGATGCTGCAGGGATAACTTCCCTGTGAAGATAAAGCAGCCCTTAGAAGCTTTCTGCCAGGCACATTTTATTGGGTTCCCCTTTTTCTCCCTTTTCTTTGCATCCCCCAAGCAGCACTTGCTGCACAGCATTTCCCTGAGCACTGGGGGAACTTGTGGGGGAAAGCATGGAGAACTGCAGCACAACACACACACGCACAGCCTTCGGCTTTCATCCCTCCATTGCTCAAAGGACAGCAGGGTTCAGGAGAGCTACGTGCCGCGGGGTCCCGGGAGGAGCAGCACAGAGGGCATCCCCAAGGAAAAGCCACCGCCTGTGCTGACAGTCGGAGCTCGCCTCCCTGCAGGAGCCCAGAGCAAGGAGTTTCTCTTCCTCCTTATTGTAAAGCAGAATGAAACCCACGCGTGCGGGACTCCGCTGCTGGGCTGGGAGCTGGGCTCTCAGCACTGAGCTGGGTCTGCTGGTTCCTTTGCCAGCTGTGCCCAGCTCACCTCGAGCTCTGCTGTCACCAGCGGCCCTATGGATGGATGGACAGCCAGCAGGGACAGCTGCCACCACGCTCACCTCGCCCCTGGCTTCCTAACAGCAGTGCTTTAGGGGAAGGAGCACATCTTCAGAAGAAAAGTGAAATACACAGCAAGTTTATAAAAAAAGGGAATTGCAGAGTTTCGTGTGGATCAGCCAGGCCAGCAGCAGCAGGCGTTTCCAGGCAGCTGCCAGATGTGGGTGTCGGGGCTGCCCCAGGCGCCAGCTCCATCCCATCCCTTTATTCGTGCCCACACTTACCTCTCATAAGGGGATGAGGCATCCCAGGAGCAGTGTGTTTGTGCCTGATGTGTGCAAGGCCACGTTTCTGTATGCCCAGCCATACAGCTGTGTTCGCCTCTCTCCGTGGTTAAAACCACCCCATCTGGCAGTTCAGGGCCACAGAACCTAGGAGAGACAGAGAGAAAGGGATGTGAATGGGAAGGAAAAAGACACCCAGAGAGCAGAAACTGTGCAGAGCCAGCACCAGCCACTTCCTGCCAGCCAGGCAGTGACGCATCCCTCTAGCTGTTGGCTTCAGCATTAAGCCAAAAGCCCCAAGCTCAGAGCAGGCTCACCCCCATCCCCAACCCTTCCCATTTTCTGCTCCTCCTCACACACCTGCAGTCACTTGTCCAAATCCACCAGGAGCACCTGTGTCTGCATGGTGCTCACTGCCAGCAGAGCTGTGGGGTCAGCTATCTGAATAGGAACCTTCCAAATAAATTACCCAGAATCCTAGAATGGCCTGGGCTGCAAAGGAGCACAATGCTCACCCAGTTCCAACCCCTGCTGTGTGCAGGTCACCAACCAGCAGCCCAGGCTGCCCAGAGCCACATCCAGCCTGGCCTTGAATGCCTGCAGGGATGGGGCATCCACAGCCTCCTTGGGCAACCTGTAACAGTGCATCACCACCCTCTGGGTGAAAAGTGTCCTCCCAGGAGCAAAAATAAAATAAAATAAAAATAAAATAAAAATAAAATAAAATAAAAATAAAATAAAAATAAAATAAAAATAAAATAAAA